CTATTCATCATTTGTTGAGTATTTGATCTAGTCAATTCACTTGTGATTTTCATAATTTCACATGAACAGTAAAATAAAAGTGGAAGGAGAAGGAAGAGGATTCGAAAGAGCCTGCTCTGGAGTGGGTAAAAGACTCGATGATTGTCGAACATTTTCTTTTGTTTCCTTATCACGCTAAGTGATGGTTATGATAGTTAACCATTTCGGATAAATTGTGGGAGGGAGTAACCAATTAGATTTCCAAACTTTACAAATATCTTCCTAATTTGTTGATTAATTTGTTTGTTTCTTCTGTTGTTGTATCAATCTACAGTCCTAGAATTTATTAGAATCATAATCGATAAACAAGTAGTATCTATCATATTTTGGGGTTGATATCGTTGTGAATAAGGTTGCAGTTTTATCAGATTTGCTAACTGAACAAGTAGATCAATAAAAATTGAGCTATCTCATTCTTATCGTGCAAATGTTGTCCTGGATTTTTCCTTTCCAAAGTGAATTGGTGGCACTGGATATTGTTTCATTTGATTTTTCAGTGGATGAGAATGTTAAGCCTCTAATTACTTCAATTGTTAATTGTTGTGTCTAATTGTTTTTCCATTGTTGTTGGTTCCTTATCAGTAAGGTGTATTGTTGAAACATTCACCACTAGTTGTTGTTGTCTTCATCATAATCTTCAAGTTCTCATCTTGTGTAATGGTGATTGGAAATTTTCCACTTAATTTGAGTTCTGGAACTTTCACTTTATCATTTATTTTATCAGCAATATCGTCATTCCGATCATTAAGGAAAAAAATCTTAGTGATCATCAATAAAATTCACTAATGGTGAATTTTCCAATATGAATGAATTAAGAATTGCTTAAAAAAATGGCATTCTTTGATTTTTCCTTTTTGTCGATAATTGCAGGCCACAACAAAGGGCTCGACATTTTATACCAGAGCGACTCAGTCCTTATATCAATAGCAAACAATTACGGAAATTCTGATACATGGGAAATTTTATGTTCCACTGTTGAGCCAAATCAATTACTTTCGGGTGAGAGAAGCCAACTATCGGAAACATCAAAAGGTTTTAAGGAGTCCATTATGCAGCTCTTTAAAACTCCCATAAAAGAAGAACAACCACCTTTAAAGCCATGGTGTAAGGAAGTTTCCAAAGACATTTCCCTTAATATATCTGACCCAGTGAAACATCACTTGTTGGACATTAGAAATTACAACACAGACAACTTTCTTGTATACTCTTTTACTATTAAAAATCCACCAAAGAGCTCAAGATGTCATTCAACATTTGCATTTGGTATTGGTTGTCCTGAAAAATCACTACCACATCTATTATTTGATGAATGCCTTTATATGAGAATATATGCAGCGAGAAAAGTGTCAAAAAACTCATTATCTCATCCATCCAGACCATTACTGTTGCTTAATATAATCTACAAGTGTAGATTGTGGTTTGAAAGTAGTATGGATGTTATTCGCGTCTATGATTATTTGAGTCTAGAGTTGAATAATGCCTTTACATTCACTTCAAATGAAAAGGCACGACAAGAGAATCAAGAAACAATTATCAACAAAATTTACAACCTAGACAAAAAGCATTGTTTGGAAATTTTAAATGATTTCCTGCAAATATAGTTTTGATGAATTTATTTCATATCTATTTGATGTACCAACTACTAAAAATATGGCCTTATTGAGTCAGGAGAATGTTTCTGGCTCTTGTTGGATCAAAATCAAATGTACCAGCAACTGTCTCAGCTGCCACTCTTCTGTCATAAATAAAAGTGACGAGCAATTGCAAAGCATTCAATCTAGAATTATCAAAATCAAACAATCTCATAATATTGCTTGCTTCATAGGCGCTCATTTGTGCAATATTATTTGTTTGTTTCAATTGAATAATAGTATTGAACTTGTCATTGTCAAAATCAAAGAAACCCAAAATTGTACACAAATCTGATCCACTCACTGGACAATGAAGAGATGAAGAATAGGTTTGTACAGCATTGTACATTTCTCCTTTGAATGAGGAATTTCTAAGAGCTGCAATAATTTGTTGAGCGAGAGCATTTCCCATTGGTGGTGGCACTTGACACATGTTGGTTTGAAGTGAAATTCCAAAACCTGGCATACTCATGTTCATACCCATTGGTGGCATTTCATGATAATAATGGTGATGGTAATATTGTGGTTGACTTGGTATGATCATATTAGGAGGATGATGATAAGGAGTAGGAGGTAGATTAGGCAGATTCATGTTAACACTGGCACTTGAGTGATGATCATTTACATTTAATCCTAAAGAAGCCCCAAAATTTGACAAGCTGAAAGAGTTTGGGTTATCAGAACCTATTCCAAAGAGAAAATTCATTGTTGATTTGTTTTTTTTGTCGTTTTTGTAACCATCTGTGAGACCACCTTCTATATCTATCACAAATTAGAACCGAATTTTCTTCTTTTTGGTGGATTAATGAAACTATTAACATTTATTCTCAGCTGTGATTATGCTAATATTCGTACGAAAGAGTTTCGTCAACATTCAGTGTATTGATCAATTCCATTTATTCAACATTGGATTGTTCTCCAATTGTTGACGAAACTCTTTTATCTATAAATTGTTGCAACCTTTCACAGTATTGACGATTCCACTCCTCAAACTTTGACCTATCAGACTTCTCAATCGCATTACTATAGGCCATAAAATCCTCCAATGATGTTTCATCCATTTCTAAACATTCAGTAAGTCCATGAAAAGATTCATCAGAAAATCGAGAAAACAAATCCATTAACTCTGCTTGTTCTTTCCACCAATTCTCTATTTGTGTCATGGTTTCTAATCTACCTCTCAATTGCAATAATAATTTCATGTCATAACCTTTCAATTCTGCTGTAGAATACCTTTTCAGAGAATCAAGGTGTTGTGTTCTTCCAAATTTGAATAGTTTCTTATTTGTTTGTGGATCTGTAATTTGGAATAAATAAAAAGTATTTGGTACATGTGAAGACCATACCAGATGACCCTCCTTAAATCTATTCATATTATTCCGATGGTGCAATACACATGATGGACAATAGTAATCATCATTTACAATAACCTGATATGGTGGTGGAGACCACTTTCTGAGACATTTATCAGAGAGACAATCGTGTGGAACGCCAGTTTTTAATCCCTTCCAAACTGGTTTTCTTTTCATTCGTCCTTCCTTGACAATTTCTAAAAACAAATCATAGTGATCAGGTGCAGTGATGAGTGAGAGGGCCTTTTCTTCAAGTTGTTTTTGATTCATTTTTTTTTTGATTGTGAAAAAGTTCAACATATTAAATTTAAATAGTATTCAAAAGTATCAATGACAGTTCGATTAAATGCTAGAAGTCGAAATTTCATCAACTTCATCAATTTCCTTCTTGATGGCAACTAGTACAACACCTCTTGGTGAAATTGATGGTGTGAAAATTCTTTCTAAATAAACCTTCTTGATCATAGTGTTGCTGTGTTCATGGATGAATAATAAACGATCCAAAAGAATGTAGTGTTCAATAACTGGTCCAATAAGACTTCTGAAAAACCAACATGCCTCCACCTGTTTCACTACATCATGTTCATTAGGATTAAATTCCGACTGGTAATACTCATTGTACTTTTGTGTAAATGAATCTACACTTGCTGAAGTCAATTCTAAAGGAAGATTTTCAGAAATGGTTGGATAATCTTTGAATAAATTCTGGAGTGTATGATAAGCAAAAGTGCCAAATGTTGTACTGTTGGTTTTAGATGCTTGTCTCACGATTAGGTCCGTTGAATTTTCATACCCAAGTAATGAATTGAGCAAGTACTGGAAAGCATATCTGTAACTCTTAAGTCTGAATTGTTCATTACACTCCTTCATATTGGAGTGAGACCAATTGAATGGATTAATACATGCCATAGATTTACCAAGATTGGACATGTAAATCTTGTTATTGTTCTTGTAGTGGGAAGAAAGTGGAAAGCTTGATCCTTCCTTTAATTTATGATAGCAGCAACCAACATTCACTAATGAATGACACATATTCGATTGCAAGAAGAGCTTGATAATAGAACTAGCCAAAGGTCCACATGTGTGAAGTCCAATCATGAGCATTCGCAAATCGTCATTTGTAGCAACGAGTCCTTCCAATTCATTTACAATCTGTGAAAATTCCTCATCATTCAATGAGAAGGATAAATGTGAGGTAATGGCATTATATGAACATTGATGCATCTTTTCATCCTGATGATATTTATCCAATACAGAATTAACCATCTTAATTCTATTCATTGCATTCTCTGTCAAATAACCATTACAATCAATATTATAAATATAAGAAATATTAGAATCATTTTCCACTGATTGGTCAATCAATATTTTCTGACTCAAATAACCTTGTCCTCCTCCAATATCACAAATACTATTACAATTACTTGTCTTGGACAAATCTCTAATACATTTACTCAGCCTTTCAATTTCATATTTCTTTTTAGGATTTAATCCCTTTTCCAAACTCTTTAATTTCTTCTTCTTTTTATTATCTTGTTGACCCGTTGGAGAAGTAATCTTTTCCGAAACAAACAAATCTCTACAAGCCTCCACAAATTCCTTCAATTTTTGATTTTTAATATTTTCAATATTGGAGAATTGAGACATGTCCATTAATTCTCTCGTACTCATATTCATCAAATCACTTCTCCACTCCTCCGGAATGGTTGTTTCAAAATGATTGAATATGAAGAAATCAACAAGTTTTTCCTCAAAATTTGACTTGTTGCCTCCTCCGAATATTAAAACATGTTTCATAGGTGATGAGAAAGTGGGAAAGTTTGGCAAAGGTAGAAAAATGTTCCTCTTCCGTTAAATCCATTTTTTTGTAATTTTTATTTTCAAAATAAAAAAAAATACCAACAAGAATATGAATTTCTCGTCATTTTGGTAATTTTTATTCATTTCAGAGGATTATTAAATCGGATACACTCGGATATTGGAATTGGAATTGTTTAGCAACACTACACTAGAGTAAATGGAGATCAAAAATTAGTCCTTGACTATTCAACACAAATTATTGGAGGAATGTCTTGAAAGTAACATCCCAATCTCTATCTCAGCATTATAGATACACACAGAATCAGTACTTTCTGTGTTGTTGGATTTAATATTTGCATCTGCTAAATAACTGATCTTGTAATTGTTGGCAATTTCAAAAAACGATTAAACAATCTGGCA